GTTTCATCTGCAACTCGATCTGAAAATCCACCTTCCGTTCCTGGTTTTGCGTGACAACGTCGCGCAGCTACTTATTTTTGAATAACGATAATGATAGGCTGATACATGTAGAGATGTAATTACGTAAAAGGTTAAATCACGCTTTGCGACAATTTAGCATGTTATTAGTAAATTGTCGCGTAATGTGATTTGATTTTTACGTAATAAGTAATTACCTTGGATACATGCCGCCAAATTACGTACCGGTATTCAAAAATTTTTGCCAAATATTGTATTGGTATACTTATGCGAGTTTTTTAAGACTTGTAACAAACACAACAATAGTTTAAAATTTTTATTATATAAAGACAACGATAAGACGATGGTGTTGATTCAATTTTCCAGTATCGTCTCTGAAATAATTTTATCAAAATGTCTGTTCTCCGTGAACTTGGTAAAACTGGTGTTAAAATTCTAGTAATTGGACTTGGGTGTAACGTATGAAATTGAAGGCACATTTTTATTATACAGTAAATTCGTGAATAACTAAATCGATTATTTTTCTTTAATTAAGGGAATGAGTGAATTTTACGGATTAACTGATGATACGGAAAATTTAAAAGTATTAAATCATGCGATTAATTTAGGATGCATCTTCTGGGATACTGCAGTAAGTATATAATTTTTTAATCGCATTACCTAGATATCTGCATTAAACAATTTTATTTTACGTGAACGAATATAATGAATATTCTTTGTTTCCGAAAATTGGTATAATATAAAGTGAAATTTTTTAATGTACATGTTGTAAGTATGAACGAAATTTGAGTGGATCTTGAAATTCTAAAGATTTTAGGATTTTCTATAGGTTTATATAAATTAATTTCACCCTAAAATCATAGATCTACCCTAATATCATGATAAGAAATTCAAAATCCACTTTAAATTCTGTTCTCACTTACAACATAGATACTAGATAATATAGCATATACACATGCCATATAATCCTATAAATTTATTTTCTTTCGAATAATTATAATAAAGGACATTTACGAAATATTACTTTCAAAAGTTCTTAAAGATCGACGTAGTGAAGTTTTTCTTTGTACAAAATTCGATAATGTTCGTGAAGAAAATGGAGAGTACTTGGGTGTAAATGGGAAATCAGAATATGTTCACGAATCATGCGAAAAAAGCTTACAAAGATTAGGTGTTGATTTATTGATCTTTACTATCAACATCGTGTCGATCCTACCATGTAAATAGATTTTTTTTACATTAGTACTATTAATTAATAAAACATTTAATAACTTTATTATTACTCATAATATAATAATATACAGTCCAATTGAAGATACAGTTAAGGCTATGACTGAACTTGTTGAAAAGGGTAAAGTTAAATATCTTGGACTTTACGAATGTTCGGCTGAAACTCTTCGACGCGCTCATAAAGTTCATCCAATCGCTGCCTTTCAGGCACGTAATTTTATTAATTAAGGTTATTCAGTAAAGTATATCTATCTTTACACTATAAACTTATTTTAAAAATTATACATATGTGTACATTCTATACAGATGGAATACAGTCCATGAGCCCTTGAAATTGTAACAAATGGAATACAGTCCATGAGCCCTTGAAATTGAAACAAATGGAATACAGTCCATGAGCCCTTGAAATTGAAAC